ATTGCCGTTCGAACGTTTTTGTTTTTCTGCTAATCATTTATTGTTCTTGTTTACTATTGTATTACCACCTTTTGATAATAAAGTCCTTTGGTAGACAGAAACACACGCACAAAATTTCCTTTTCAAAGCCGCTTTAACTCCATCTCTACGATGAAGGCTTCTAAAGAGACTCGCATTGACTTCACATTGAAAGACAAAAACAACATTTTTGGATGACTCATCCAAACTGAAACTGATTTTTCGAGCAAAGGAAGAGAGATAAAAGAGAGAGTAAATAACACGTTTTGTAGAGCAACTCTCAGGCTATCGAAACATATGATTTATAAATTTACTTTATTTTCTCTTTATGATCGTTTAGTGAGGTAATACTTTTACACACACATGTAGCTCCAGATGAAAATTGGCTCTGTCAGATTAAGGAAACTAGTTTTAGAAAATGTGAACCTGTCAAAAGATAGTGCATAAAAAACTGTTTTGAAGCAGCCTAAAATGGTGGGAAAAAAATTTTCTTTTTACATTAAAAAAAATAAAAAACCCTTTCTCCACTCACTTTGTTGCTCCCGATTTTCGAAATTGTTTCGTTAATAATTTTTGATGTACTTGTCCAATTTCGTTTAAACTTTTATCCAAGACAGTATACAAAAAGTTCTTTAAGTGGACAAAATTTCAGCTATACAGCGTGTGAACTTTAGGAGAAATTTACATTATACGTCAAAATGTAGCTCCAGATTTCTTTCACTGATTTTCGAGAGGCTTTTGGCCAAAAGTAGTCTTCTTATATACCATTTAACTCCTGAGACTATGCTCAGTATGATTTGGAGCTAAATAGACTAAAATATTCCTATAGTTCCTATGGAAAAGACAAACTGTTTTACAAGGTAGCTGAGGTCAGAACAAAGATTTTTAGGTTCAGTGAGCCATTATAGTTAAGCTGAAACGACTCGTCTGTGGTGAGATATATAGATATCACAGAGAGCTATCGATTCATGCGTAATATGTATGTCTTTGCTTTAATTTCAAAGCATTCTCTGACACTAAACCTTACACATCAAAATTCGGACTTTTGAACTTTGAATACCTCAGTTCGTTTGCATCGGGTAGTTGGTCAATTTTTACAGGATACTCAGAAAACGACGGAGAACAATAAAGTATATAACGCAGGGTGTAATGTGAACACACACAATAGAGCTGCGACAAATAGCGATTTTCTTTTCTTTCCTTATTCACGTTATATATTGTGTGTGCTCACGTTGCAATGTACGGTACACATATATAACATACATTAGAGCACTAGCAAATAAAGAGATATCTCTTTTCGCACATGCATATCTTTCTGTTCGCTTTCGTTTCAATCGGCGCGCTGAGATAAAAAAATGTTCGCGCACGAGATATCGCATGTGAAAAGCGATATCTCCTTATTTGCTAGTGCTCTATTAAGACTGTTGTCTGTGTAGAGTGATGTCACGTTTCTTTCTTTTCCTTAGTGTGTACGAACGTTATAGACTTCATGCAGATAAGACGTATATGCTGACCTTTTCTTTTTTCATCTATACATCACGTATGTATGTCACGTGTATATAGTGATGTCATTCTATCCCGTTAGTTGTTATCATTTATCTGGAAAGAAAAAAACGGTCATTTTCAGCGAAGATTTTCTTTTCTTTTTACTTTCTATTTTCTTTTCTTTTTACTTTCTATTTTCTTTTCTTTTTACTTTCTATTTTCTTTTCTTATTCACGTTATAAACCATTTGAAATAAAGAAATATAGTCTACTATGACAAGAACTTTGCAATATACTTAAACACATACAAGTATCAAACATAGAGTTAATAACAACATGAATAAAAAATGGATTGTAGCTCTTTAGCAGAATCTTCTCTCCAACATCCTAATCTTTTTTATTCTATCCTTTAGACCAAAATTCTTTCTGAAAACAGTATCAGTTTAAAAAGAGGAGAGACATACGCATTTCTCTTTAGGGATAAACGTAAAATTCTGATATAAGCAGTTAAGTAAGACTTAGATCATTGTTATCATGTCAATAATTATGTTGAACAACGTCTGTATTAAAATCCTCGAAACGAATATAAGCTAATCCAAATATACAATTAGCTATATGTAAATAAAATCTTTGGTCGTTTTTAAAATGACGTTGAGCATCTGACATCACGCGAAATAACTTTATATCTTTTGTAACGTGCTCAATTCCAATGCCATAGTGTGACAGTCGATTATTGAAAGCTAATCTCTGTTGCTCTGTTAAACCTGCGCGACGACGCTCGTTTGATCTAGAATACAAGGAGAAGACCGATACTGTCATTTCATACAATTCTGTACATTATTGTTTCTCACCTGAATGATGTTAATACCGGTGGTTTATTCGCAAAACCTCGATCTCATAATAACCAAGACTCTTCAGGAACTGGACATTGTTCAGCAACTTTTTTTGCTTGAATAAACAGTTTAGCATCATGATATGAACCAAAATATCCGGTTTAAAAAATACAAATCGCCGATCAAGGATGCAAAGGTAGATGCTAGCCAGACAGTGATATTTCTGTTTTCCCGAATAATAAATTTTTTGCCGGCGTACTAAAAAAGGTTAATTAGCAATTTCTATTCGCTATTCGTCTAAGAACATTCCTACTTGGTCTCTGTATTTTATGACGGGTACCATCTATATAGCCGGCTATGTTTCCCAGAACTGGATCGTAAATAATTCTTTCAGATAGTTGTTCTAATGAGGGCCACTGAATCTTTCCGATAGCAGAAGACAAAATCGGAATTAACCGTCGAATCCTCCGTTGAATATTACGAGAATGAATACTAAATTGAGAACTGAGTTGTTGTGAGGTGGGATATTGACGAAGCCAAACGAGTAACAAAAGCATCAGATTACGATTGATTAGACGTTTATGTCGTCGCTGCTTTGCAGTTGTCATTATTTGATTAGCCTTGGCTTCAAATTTTAGAAATAGTAATTCAAAAGACTCAAGAGTTAATCCTGTTAAACAAATAAATTGATTTGGTCGACAAATCATCGAGAAGTACACATCCACCGATACTCTGAATTTATCATCTCTAAACGCTTTACGGTAATTAGGTATCTTATAAAGCTTGTGTGATAACTGAAGGTGAGCAGTTGCAGTGTTTGAGAATGTAGGGATAATAACAGATGTAACAAGTTTTAGCACTGATAACAAAAATAGAGTATAAACGAAAATAAGACTAGCAAGTTGTTGAGTAGCATTTGTAATTAATGGTTGAAGAATATTAATTAAATCTAAAATTTTTTTAATTTGGTACGACGAAATCAAAAAATAGAATAAGAGTTAAAATGCCATGAGCACTGCGAAGGAAAAGAGTATATATGTATAAGTGCGTATGTATGTGTTATCAAAGGAATGAAGAAAGGGATAATAATAACTGAATGTAAAGAATGGATGAAATCCCCCCCTCACATAATAATGAAATGTTCTTTATACTTGTCGTTCATAGACAGGTAATAAGTTGTTAACGTGTGTTGTGAATGTTGTAGTGCCATCATCTAACGTATAATTGAGCGAATTAAGCTGTCGAGTAATTTGAAAAGGGCCACGAAACCTTTCATCTAACTTAGAGCGGCCAACGAGTATTTTGAACCAGACTAAATCACCGATGTTATAAGACGAACTATTTCGATTTAGATCATAGCGTTGTTTTGATAGTTGTTGTTGATGTTGAATATTTCTGCGAGCCATTTGAGTGGCGTATGTTCTGAAACGTTGAACGTGTAGCCAATAATCGTTGGGTCATCGGAATTTAAAATCCGGACGTGGTGAATCAAATGGATTACGAGGTAAACGACCAAACGCGAGCTGATAGGGTGTGAACCCAGTTGTACGATGTTGAGTGTTGTTGTATGCAAAAACGACTGATGGTAGATAAATATCTCAATTGCTGTTCTCCTCATTGCAGTACTTGGACAATTGTGTTGCAAAGGTGGCATTGAATCTATTGGTTTGACCGTTGGTTTGAGGATGATATGGTGTTGAGAATGCGTGTTTGGAACCGACAAGTGTGCATATGGCTGCTATCAGTTCATTGTTGAAATGTTGACCCTGATCGGTGATGATTTTTTCCGGAGCACTATGTACGAGGAAAATGTTTTCGAATAATATTTGAGCAGTTGTTTGAGCCGTGTTATGTGGCGAAGCTTTAGCAATAACGTAGCCACATCGACGATCGGTTATAATTAAAACGTATTTGTTTTCGTCGGATGAAACAGGAGCCGGACTCCATCAGTCGAGACCGAGTACTTAGAAGCTTTCATCGGGAGGTTCGATAGGTTGTAAGAGACCAGGTGGTTTTTGTCGTTGTATATTAAATCGTGCACATTGATGGCATGATCGAATATAATCTTCGATTGTCTTTTTCATGTTGGGCCAA